TCGAGATTGGCTTCAAAATGCTTCATTCGAGAACATAAGAGAAATACCCTGAGAAAATACCTTTTTGGATTTCCCTTTTTTTCGTCGGTTGTTTCGGAGCAATAGATTTTTATTTTTTGCAAAAAAAAACCAACAAAAACCCATGAAATTTGCGGAAATGCACCGGGTTTCCATGACTCATTCGATGAGTTTTTACAGACTTTTCACCCATCAAATAGCATGCTTAATTATTAAAACATTTCCTCAGTGGATGAATTGCTTTTGAATCGAGCGTACTCAGGCTCATCAACTGCCTACAGTAATCCTATCCTAATTGGAATGCAGCTTACAGTATCCCTGGTCCCCCACATCAGTACATTTTTCTTGGGGCTGTTTTCTATCATCCAAAAAAGTTTTTCAATCATTTGGCGGAATCATTTTAAACCTCAACAGAACCTCTACCCTGGTGATCCTCATGTTTTATAGTATTTTCTTTTTGTTCTCAAGATTCGATTCTATTTTAGAAACCCCTTCAAGTGTCTGAAACCAGTAATTCGATCTTAGAAGGGTCCTTCGAGAAACCAGCCACCGATAGGGGCGGTTCATCGAAAATGCATATCTCTCGCATTGATCCGCTTTACCTCTTTCATCGTCGTATTACAGCGAGAACTGGCAGCCGCCTCCAACCATTCCTTATCCCTCTTCTTTCACCTGTAGTTGTTACTTTTATCAAATCACCTTTCAAATCAGAAGGGATTCTGCATTTCGACTGGATACTGCAAAGTAACATAGCTTGTCTTGCTTCTTCCTTAGTATTCTTCTTTGACAGCGGCAGTAACCTGTGAAGATCCTCTTCCGGTAGACTCGGCATTCTGAAAGGACCTCCAATCAGTTCGTGGATTGATTGGTGCCAAATTGGAATCGGTTATGACGAACACTCACCCCCATTGCTCTTCCTTCTCTCTATTTGATGGACCAACAATGTATTACCTATTTCCTAAGAGAAAGTCGATTGCATGGCGTATCCCAAAGCGGGCATACCTAACGTTCATTTATTCGTATTACTTTGTAAAATGATTTCTATGGAATCAGCTTCTGGAATTTCCCTCTAATCAGTCATTCCCCTCTTTCTTTTCTCTCTCTATCATCCTCCTATTTCTTTTTACTTTCGATTTTCATTCATATTTTTGTGACAATTCGTTTGCTGAGAAAAAACGTTTCATGTTTCTAGTAGGAAACGAGGCCCATCAAACGATGCTTCCCTTTTTTCCTCGATGAACCGTCCAGTATCGTTCGGATACGGCAATACTATTTGGTTTCATAAGCATATCATCACATGGGCGGAAGTGGTGTGTATCAAGTAGCACACTATCACCCACGCACCGTCACAGTACGAGTTCCGGCTTGATATCCGCCTTGGCTGAATAAGGGGTGTGTTGCGTTAGGAACGAAATGTTCGCGTCGCGGTGAGAGGGGCGTCGCGCGCGAAGGAATGTAGCAGGATGCAGCAGTAGATAAGAAATACAAGAACAAAAGTACCAATAGTAGAATTATGCATAAAATAATGATCGCATATCGATTGAGCTGTATGAAGAGTGCTAGAGCTGTAATAGGGGCGAATGATCTTGGCATTACACCACCACGGCCAATTTGTTCCACCTCATTTCCCTCCCATACCTTACCATTCACCTTCGACATCCTCATGAGATAGGTAATTATGAAGTGGCAAGTCCCATCGATAGAGCCAGTTCTGCTTCGAATTTTTTAAAGTTGAGGTGTGGGTGAAGTCTGTTGTCAGCACAATATTTGTCATAAGCACCTACATGCTAAAACTCTAGAACCTCTCAGACCTCTTATTCGAGTTATAGACAATTGAATCGTTCGAATGTTTTTTGAAAGCACATTCTCATTCGTTTTGATCCTGAAGGCGAAGCAAATAAATCCAGCAAGGGTACCAATGTAGCATAAGTGCCAAAGAACGTTTTCTTTTCTGGCCTTATTTCTTTTTCTCAGAATCTTCCTTTCTATCGTATTAGTAGCGTTCTCCCATTGATACCCGTGTCATAAAATCTCAAATATCAAAAGCATCCTCGACTATTTCACACAAGCAATTCTATGGACCATTCTCACCAATAACATCCGTATGGTCTCTAGAATTTGGCGGAAATCGGAAAACAAATTTCTGGTAATGGAATCTATCTTGGACTTCTAAAATTGTAATTTAGTCTGTTCTCTCTGAAAAGAAAGAATGACTACGGAGAAATAAAAAATCACTTGATTTATTTTTTTTACTTTTCCTAGTTGGTTCTATTTTTCTGGAGTTTTCTTGAAGATTACTGATAAGGATATGCATTGCTACAGATGATGGTCCTTCTTTTCTCGCCACTTACTGGTACTCCTGCCCTGTTCCATGATGCTAATACATTCTCACTCACATCCTGCCCTATACCATAGCTATCAATTTGATGAACTGCGCCTTGTTGGACTACTGCCAATTATCTGTCAGTACCCAGAGATGTGTGGCCGAAGGTGCTCATCATTCTGTCACTCAGAAGATTGACAATTCTACTGGCCCCAGTTTTGAGTTTCTGCAGCCCTCCCAACTTGTCCTCATCGTTCGCCCTTCGCCTAAGCCCGTTCCTCTGATCAGTTTCAGAGCGAACGAATTCTTATTCGGTTACATGTGAGGGGCCAATCAGCCTCAACTTGGTGCCAGCCAAAATCAAAGATTGATTAGAATTGGTAAGCGAGCTGTTGATCGCTACAAACAGCTGTTCTATATAATTGTCTTATAAATTTTAGTATTATCACAAATCAATCGCCTTGTCGATCATCGACTTCCTCGAGCAGAGCATACATTTCACAAGTAGTTATTTAACAATAATTAAAATTCGAAAAGATTATAAACTCCAGATAATTCATATTTGTAATTCTCTTTGCAGCATTATCGTTGTTTGTGATTTGTGTACAATTTTCGTTTGAAAATCGTTTAATCACTTTGACCTTGATTTTTACTGGTTTGCTCGTTACTTCTTTTGAAACACCACGGTAATGGCTCAGAAATAGTGTTGGGAGTAAATATGTCGTTTCAGTTGTCCATAGTTAGTAGGTCCTTCCCTTCCGGAAAAAGTTACCAGAGCCCGTACTAGCTCACTGTCCAGTCATGCCATCACTTTTACACCTTCCAATACTCTTATGTATCTGAGTGGAAGTCGAATGCATGGCGCATTCCTATGAAGAGGCATGGCAACCACATTAATCTTTGCCGTGTTGTTTGTGTGTGTTTTATGATGGCTATTTTGGCATTTATAGAGCCCTCCCTTCTCCTTTCATTGTCTTCCCACGCGGCACGTTGTTCGAGAGCTCAGCTGTCTATTACAGCGTTTTGTTTCTACGCTCACACAGCAATAGCGGCAACGTGCGTCTTCTGTCTCCCCTCTATATGCTGCACCCTTCAATTCATCAATTGTGTATAGCCCCATCGATTCGTCATCATTTCTCTCTTTTGTTGTCTTTTACGTCTTCGTCGTTATTGAATTCCCATTCGTATATCGATATAATTCATATTTTTCTCGTAAATTCCGTTTTTATCAGTCAGATGGTGTGCGCGGGAATGGACACACAACATGTCGTAAACGGAGAACTTGCCCATGGTTTTGAAAACCTCATCTGTGTGAGGTAAGCGACCCCTGTCCCATTTGAATGTTTCTTAAATTTTAGCTCCCTGTAGAGATCATGGCTTATTATCGTGCTCGAACAGTTCTTAGTTCAGTGCTTCGACAGGGTCTGAAATATGAGCTCCCTGGCAGTATTTCCATTTTCCATACTGTCCAAATTTTCATATTGGTAAGATAGGTGTCGCGAAAGAGTCCATCCAGTTGATACCGCAATAAGACTCCCAATTAGGAGGGGTACATCGAGAATTCGTTTGCCTTCTTGTCCTCTCTTAATTACAGCCGTACATTTTGAAGAGCAGGTCTCCTTAGAGGTAGTATGAGAATGAAATATTGTAAATTTTGGTGTTTTTAACGATTCCGTGATTCTCCTTGGTTAAATGCGATCGATCAGTATTTGAAACACAGATACACTTCTTTTCTCCCTTCGACCTAACCCAGGGATAGCGATTTTACCCTTACAGACAGGTTTGAGTGCTGGCTATTCACTGAAACGAACTATTTTTCAGTAATAAGGGCATAAGTATCAGTTGCCCGAGAGGGTAACGGGTTAGAGTGGGTGAATGCTCCGTTTCCGGGTAGTGAATTCGATTGGCCAACGGGCTTGTGAACTAGCTAGTTGCTAGTTTATGAAGATAGAAAGCCGGAGAGAGCAAGGGCACAGCGGAAGCGGACCACTAGCGAGGCCCCTATGGAGATGTATGGTTAACTACGCAGTTGTAGCGGTACCACCCTGCTTGTCCTAGGAATTCTGTCAAAAATAAAGAAGGCAGTTAACAAGACCTCGACCTTGGGTGATCACCGATGATTTATTCGATTTTATGTAATTTCAATGACGAATAAATAAGTAAAAGTAATACAAACCAACTAAAATCTCCGCCTCAGTACCCATCGAATCCTGTTTTGCCACCAATGGTTGGCCATTGTACCATTTTGTTACTTTTGAGGTTCTCTTAAGTATATTTACGATGTATGTATTCAGGTGCAACGATGGATTTTCCCTGCAGGACCAAATCGTCAACTCATCCGGGCAAGTATGGCATTCTGAATGTTTTGTGTACGTTTATTTTTTTGGATTTTTTCACGAATTATTTCTTGGAAATGATTTGTTTTCGCCTTTTACAACACATATGTACCCAGCTGTGAACTTAGGAAGTCACGTAAGTCCGGGAGTTTCTTTTAATCTTCAATGTTCAATGCTTCGGGTTTGATTTATGGCTGCTATTAATTTTGATGGACAACATGTACATACGCTGGGCGATAGTCACTAGGGGAAGTGCAATGATGACCCCGACATATACTCTCCCTTGGGAGAAAATGAGTAGGAAAGGAAAATCTCAAGATAGGGGTGTTAAAGTGGAAATCTCCTCTGAAAATCTGGTATATTCCTGATTAAAAGCTCAATTCTCTGTGGAAATAGTTTCGGAATTTTCACGGAGACAATCTTGGCTCCGAGATGGCCTCATGGGGCAATGTCGGGTTGAACAGGTGTCTAGAGAAGGGACCATAAGGGCTCAAGCACCGGTACCGATGTTCACTGGCCTTCAGTGGTCCCAGGGAAGGACATATTTGATGATCTTGTAGAACCTGATGCCGTTTGAATTATATCCCTGTAATGTTGTATGGAATTGCCCATTCTATCTCTAAATGGTCACAGCTAGGAAAAAAAACTAAATAGATAAACAAGCTGAGTAAACAAACAAACAAATGAGCTCTAAAACAACAACTTTTTCTTTTCAGATGTGCCCAATGTTTTGAGCCATTCCCAGATGGAATTTATTTTGAATTTGAAGGCAGAAAATACTGTGAACACGATTTTCACGTCCTATACGCTCCATGCTGTGGAAAATGCAGTAAGTCGGTCTGGGAGGATCTATTTGGACTTGGTTGAAGCTGAATCCGCTCATTATCGCCTGCTTCAGATGAATTCATCATTGGTCGCGTGATCAAAGCGATGAATGCTAGTTGGCATCCGGAATGTTTCCGTTGTGAACTCTGCTCAAAAGCATTAGCCGATATTGGATTTCTTAGAAATGCTGGAAGGTTAGTGGGAATTTTGTTGGTTCGGAAGCAATATGTCAAGTTTAAAACCATTCCACTTTCCATCATATGTGCCAGATGTTTCTGCATGTTTATGGCCAAAAAAATTCTTCATCTTTTCTGAGAGCTCTCAAAATAACCCCTATGTTTATTATCCAGGCAAGGTGGATGGAGTTGTTAGTGTAAAAGTCAAAGAGATCATTCAAATTCCTAACCATTTTTAGTTGAGGCCATTAGGTATGGCTCATACCGGGAAATTTGCTAGAGACTGGTCTGTCTCTTTCACCTTGCACTTACACTCTTTTAAGGGTGGGGAGGGGGGAGGGGGGGAAGAGAGAGGAAAGGGGGACAAGCTGTCCCATATTAGGGAGCTCAATGAGGGAGTACTCATTTCACTGACAGTTTGGTATAACTTTTACTAACTATAGAAAGTGTTTCTGTACAGTGCTCTGTTTGATATCATCTAGAGCTGGGGCCAAATAAGCCTTCTTTCCAAGTAAGGGAAGATGGGCAGATGTCCTGGAAAGCCTCAGGTAGTGTAGTTGATGTACACGGTACCTGGGAAAGCACTGGTACGAGCTTGAGTCCTGCTCAAAGCGGAACGTTGACTGTATGACTATAAAGTAATATCATGCCGATGCATCCTGTGATTCACCTCTCGGGAACGCCATTAAGGAGCTTCAGCGCTTGCAGTAGTTATACTGTTTCCTATCATTGCTGGTGGGAAGGCAAAGCAAAAAGTTGTTCACGGGCGAATGATTGAAAGCCTCTCGATGTAGAAAAAAGGGTTAATACTAGTAATGGAGGGACCCCTACCAACCAATTGCAATACTGAGCTTGAGCAGAGGTGAAGCAATGTCAAGTAGCACTGCCATCGACATAAAATCAAACCCTGGCTCGAACTTTGTCCGAGCTCATCCAGTCTTACGCCGCTTTTACTACGGACACCCGCCTCCATGCTTGTCTGGGTTGAAGAAAACCTGCTTTGTATCTGGGCGCAACTCAATGTTTAGCGCAAATACGTATTCAGAATTCACTGACTCCTCCAGGTAGTCGAGTACGTAACGTGCTTTTGATAGGAATCGATCGGAACTGATCTTCTTGTCATGGAACTTTTGATGGCTGGTGAAAACGATCAATAACAGCAACCTAAGTCTCAGTTTCAGCCCATGCCCTTAACTATTTATACATATTTATACGTGCTGCTGTACATTTTTGAGCCTTCAAATAACTCCGAAAGTCAGGTGGAGCAGTTCACTCCTTGTCTGCTCAATAGAGCTGGCAATTACTTGTTCCTCTATTTGCGAATAGGAGATCCGAAAACGAAAGGAACGAGGGCAAGGCCGCATCGCATGATTGCACACGGGATTCGAATTTTTTGTGATAATCACCTGTAAGGGTCAAGGTGGCCAATAGTGTTGACATTTCAATGCACTGATGTGCCATACTCAGGGACGAGATAAAGGATGAAGATTAAAGTCTTTTGGCGTGGACCAATCCCCTCAGGGAGATGCGAACCCCAGGCACTTCCGCACAGAATTGTAGTAGCACATTGAATGCGTACGAGGTCTATACAATGGCGGTCGGTTAGTTGGTACCAGACTTGTCTGGGAAGGCAAAAGCATTGACCTCTACAACAGCTGGACACCATAAGCCATTGTATAGACCTCGTACGCATTCAATGTGCTACTACAATTCTGTGCGGAAGTGCCTGGGGTTCGCATCTCCCTGAGGTGGCTCGGTTAGCCTAGGCATACGCCAATCTGGGGTTCGAACCCTTGTCCATGCGTGTGTGATGGTGCGTCATCTATCTGGACGTCACCTCAGGGAAGAGATAGGAGAAATAATATATTGTAATCAGAATTTTTGTAACTAGCTATACTATGGATGATATTCTTATTTATGGACCAGGTACTACGAGTTAAGTTGGCTCAAATGGATTCCCTAGCAAAGGTTGCTTCCCTCTCCACGATTTTTCACTACAATGTATATTTGCGTTTGATAGATTTTTTTTCGGAATCATAAGATAAAATATTTCTTATGCATGAGTTTTTAGGGCTCTTTGTCGAGAATGCAACGAACGCGAGAAGGCAGCTGGTTCCGGACGATATGTCTGCCATCGTTGTCACGCAATGATCGAAGAAGGACAGCATATAAAATTCCGTGGCGATTCGTTCCATCCGTATCATTTCAAGTGCAAACGTTGCAAGTACGTTACAACGGGACATGGAATCCCCAATCGCTCTTCTGATACTTTTTCTATAGTTCCGGGTATTTGCTCTGGTCAACAGGGTGAAGCGTACATCAAGGAATCCTCGATTGGGGGTCGATTTCACCCCCTCTCCAGTCATCGTTTGGCGAAAGATTAAGCGAAAGCTGAAGAAGTTAGTAGGAAGGGGGCGAAAGGGGATCACGGGGAGACAGAACAAGTCAAACTGCAACTTGAGTTTGAGAAAGGAGGGGGAGAAGAAGGGTGGGGAGATCCTGGTTCGGGTGTGAAGGTTTTAGTGTGAGAGTGGGAGTCGTAGCAATTTTTCTACCCCATCTGGACGCTGCTTATCAGTTCCATAGGATCCGAGCGGTTGTTATGACAGGGAGACTTTTCTTACCTTAGTACTCTACTCAGAGGGGTCTCAAAGGAAAATTTCTTCGCTATGGAGATCCTTAGACTAAAGTCCTCAACCGGTTTCATGTAAAGTCAGATTTTTGTGAGAATTTATTGCTACCAGTCTGTGAGCTCCCAATTCCCAAGTGGTTATCTGGGTCTTTTTTAGTAACGAGTTAACGATACAATCGCGTGAAGTGGGTGGCGAATTGTATTGCCTGCGATGTCACGACACTATGGGTATACCGATTTGTGGTGCTTGTCATCGACCAGTCGAAGAACGAGTAGTGACGGCATTAGGAAAAAATTGGCATGTTGAGGTAAGTCGTCTAGAAAGAAACTTTTTGAACAACTACTACTTTCATTCAAGCTTCACAGTTTTTCCATAGGCACCGCTTTGAAGGAAACTCAGATGGAAAGAATATCTACGTAGTTTTTTTTTCAGTGAATATGTGGATAAGATCATCTTTCTTGAAATCCTTGGTGTAACTTAAACATTCCTAGAGTGTAAGATTCAGACGTGACAAAGGGTGTTCGATGGGTTATCCTGTGATAAAGTACCAGCTTTGCAGATCTCTGAATCGAATATTAGGTTCAGGAAATGAAAAAAACCTGTTCATAAAATGCACCCAGGTCGGCTTTCCCTCTGGCTAGGCTGAATGCCGGTTCGCCTATATAACGGCTTATCTTGGCCAGTTGGTGCACATTTCAGAGTTTTGTCTCCTCAGACCAGTCTGGATCCAGGGATGGTCCGGATGGTTGGGGTAGGTGCCACTTAGGACTTGAGACGGTTTGGTGGGGTGATAGGTGCCATTTAAGACTATATACTTCTCAGTGTAGAAGGTTTTAATCTAGCACGTATCGCGGTTAAGTGAAGTGAGAATCGGGGTGGGTCTTTCTTCCCTTAAAGTGCCGCCAAACATACAGTAACTGAACATGCCTAACTTGTGCTCTGACCTCTCGACTTTAGCTGTTTCTGCATCCTGAGGTGCTGCTGTAGGGGATGCTCAAGTCTTGTAAACACCCCCCTTTTTCCCTGCGCGGGGTAATTGTAGAAGCATATCAGCGCGCTTGAGAACAGTGTATTTTTCATCAGCAGAGCTCGAGTTGTTGTTAAAATATCACATATACAAGCGCTGTTCCCATCTCAAAGTGCTCATGTTTATGGAGCGTGTTTGGGGACGGCGGAATAGTCTTATATGGTATTTCGTGAATTTTATATTATCACATTTCAATATTTATCATAGAACAGCCTATGAATTCCAATTATTCCAGCACTTTGTTTGCTATGTCTGCGAAAAACCGTTCCTTGGACATCGACATTATGAACGTAAAGGATTAGCATACTGTGAACAACATTACCACAAAGTAAGTGGTTGACATACCGTATAATTAATGATTTATTTATATTTGTTTGATAGTTGTTTACTTTATTTGTTGTTATTTTCTTACATATGGAATGTCATGCGACTTTTTCTTGCTAAAAAATTGGTCAAACATGTTACCGTATTCGACTGAGGCTACATTGTGTAGACTATAGAGCGATGAGCCGTGCTTCTCATTGGCACATCCTCCTCCTTGTCCATTAAGTGCTAAGCCCACAAACCAATAGGGTACAGAGGCGGTGCCGTAGAGCTCCGCCCAAGTTCCCCAACAGTCCATTTTTTATATCCTGGAAATTTATGAAAAATGCATTTTTGGAAGGTAAAAAAGTACCTAAAAACTCATCCCACTAAAATGATTTTCCATGATCCCTGGAATGAAAGAAGGTGGTTCGGGAGATCATGCGTGTAGAACATGCTAAACCAAGTATCTTACTGTAAGGAGCAAGGCGGGACAACCATAAATGGGCTATCCTTATTGGCTTTTGCGACATGTTTTGTTCTTGTTGACTGTTTTTTCCTGGGTGCACTCGGAACCATTTCTTTTTTTTAAAGGCACTGTTCACGAAAAAATGGTTTCGGAGATTTGCACATGGTTTGAATTCGAAGCCCCCTCTGATACCATTTGTGCAGGAATGAGGTCGGAAAACGGCTGGATAGGGCACAATAAGGGGCCGGAGAGTTATCCACGGTCGCTCTCCGCCCCTCGCTAGGCTGACTACGAAATCTAATTGTCGTTCACCACTTTCGCATTAGAGCGAAGTTGGTGAAAAGTCGATAAGCTGGTTGGCAAATTGTCAGAGACGCAATGTGCAACACATTGCGCCGCCTTCGTGCACTCGCCCGAACACTCCCTAACCGCCGTTATTTCAATGTGAAACTCGTCCAACCCCCTTTCCAG